CATTTAAAAATAAGTTTTTGCTACGTCTCTTGTAAGTATGAAAAATATCTTTAATTACTTTTTCTGGACACGGAAACGTAGGGAAGGGAAGGGAAAGGAAAGGAAAGGAAAGGAAAGGAAAGGAAAGGAAAGGAATGGAAAAGGGAAAAGGAAATGAGCTCTAGAAAAAGGATAAAAGAAATGCAATGTCAATACAATTTCACAAACTCCTTTAGATTTGCAAATGTCTGGCCTTCAGCCATAATTTTAATTTTTTCCAATAAAGTGACAATGGTTTTCAATGAACTGAGTTTCAGGGTTCGTGCAACTCCTTAAACTCCTCGAAAACTCCTTGAATTTACTTCACGTTTTCAAGGGCACTTAAAAAGCTCTTGAATTTTATGATTTTAGCGAAACTCCTTGAAAGCTCCTTGAATTTTTGCTTTGATCATTAATTGCATGGTTCTGAAATAGATCTAGTCAGAAAGATCGGAAAATCTGAAAGTCGGCCATGTGCAACCACCGTGTAAAACCTTGGCATAGTTAGCTGAACATACTCCTTGAAATTTCATTTTTGGGTCCTTGTATACTCCTTGAATAACCTTTGAATTTTAAGTGGTCACCTCAGCACTAACCCTGAAGTTTTTACTCCACTATATTTCCATTTTTAAAAATTATTTAAGGATAACAATTTTCATAACTTGACAATGCAAAATGTACATGATGTGAATGCTGAATTAATATGTCATTTATGTTATTTTAGGTTTTTGGATGGTAACCAACTACGACAAATCTCAAGTATGACATTTCACGGTGCCGATGACCTCGAATACCTGTAAGACTTTAAAAATGAAGACCTTAAGGAATGTATGTGTATCACTGCTGAGAATGTTGATTATTGTCCTAGGAGTTTGACAAATAACCCATTGAATGTGATAGCACATGATTCTTTCGCAAACCTGATGTATTTAAGAGCAATGTAAGTATGTAGATTGACATTATGTTTTTGCCACCGGCCTAATTAACGTATATATAAAATAATAATAATAATAATAATAATAATAATAATGATAATAATAATAATGATGATGACGATGTATGATGATGCTTGAAGATGATGATGATGATGACGACGATGATGATGATGATGCATGATGACAATGATGATGCATGTTGATGATGATGATGCATGATGATAATCATAAATAATTACATATCATCGTTCAGGTATTATCATTTCTTACAACAAGTGAAATATTTCAGATACCTCATCAAGACCAACCTACATACCATTGATATTGGATCAACATTTGTGGCTCCAACCTTAACAGTTGTTCAGTATGTTAAGTACTTCAAAATATTTGTTAATTTTATTATTTGATTTCTTTTTTCTTTTTTGAACCCCTAAACAAACTCTGGACTGATGTACACCATGACTGGGATGACAAACAGATTAATCGAATTGGAATTTCAAAGCATTGTTATTTATCGAGGAAAAAACCTATTGGGAATAACAGGGGAAAAAATCAACGAGAGACCCAGTAGTCGAACCAAAGATCCTTCAAAATGATACATATATATTTCCTCTTTCTCTCATTGACTCCGACGAAGGACTAACGTCCGAAACGTCAGTCTACTATTTTTTCGTACCTACGGTGATAAAATTATCTACTACGACACATTTGATTCAATCAAAAAACACCGACGAAGTCCAAACTAGATCCAAAACTAGTCGTCATATATATATATATATATTTAGTTAATAATGTCTCATTTTTGGAGAATAAGATGCCTGTTTACAGAAACATCTTATAGACCTTAGTTAAACTAGATTCTAAATAAATTTACAGAATGTTTTGACATGATATGATATGATATATATTTTTTTCTTTCGAGTTCATCACAAGAAATTCTTACTGGGATCGAAATAACCGCTTTAGGAGCAGAACTCCTTCGTAGCTCAGGCTACAGCTGCAAAACAGTTTTGAGCTTCCAGACAATTTGCTTCCCCTGCGACCAGGGATATTATAAAATGAATGCGTTTGATGAGGATAAGTGTCAAATGTGTCCTGCAGGTAAGAGTTACTTCATTTTACACCAAAAATAAATACAATAAATAGCTTAAGAAAATGAAGTTTATAATGACTTAAGGAGTGACCAACAAAATCCACCTAGGCATCGACATATTAGCGACCGTTAGTACGAGGTTTTTTCTAGGTACCGTTTTTAGTCAAACGTTCGACATTTAGCAAGGCACTATAAAGAAGTTGTTGCTGGGGTGGAAGAGCCGCCATATTGAATTTTGTTGATGCTGAGAGTGTTTCTCCGTGTTTACGGGCGTGTTTCTGGGCCTAATCCCTAGCAGTTAGCAGTTAACGGTAAATTTAATGCCAAAGGTCTCGATTGCTAAATATTGACCTTTTACTATTCATAAAAGCAAAACTTTTATCTATTTAATCCTACTAAGATATTTTGGAATAATTCACAAATACCTTACGACTTTTCACTGAATTATTAAAGGTGGTTTTTATCAAGACGCGATTGCACACGTTGGCGAGATTGTGTATGGTCTTGGTTGTAAACAGTGTCCTGCAGGATCCTACGTCAAGCCGGAAAGTGCTCCTGGGAAAACAAAGGAATCGTGTTCTGCATGTCTTGAAGGTAAGGAGAAAGTCTGTCTGTCATGTTTGTTGGCAGAAATTCTCATTTTTTTCATCTTTGTTTTCGTTGTTGAGATGATGACAATATTTTCCAAAAATTGATTAAGGTGGCTCTTTTTTGGTGTAGCAAGGCACCTGAGGCATGAAGACCGTAAAACAATAGCCAAGGCTAATGACTCGAATTTGCAGGAAAACAATATCCTGTAAACAAAAATGATTACCCAGAATACAATAAAGCTTGCTACACCAAGAAAGGCCCCTTTATATGTCGCCATTGAGATCACTATACGAAGTCAAGTTAGAAAAGACACTCCCTTTCTGCTCATTACAAATAGAAGACTTATTACTTGAAGTAACAGCCCTCCCTACCACCCACAGAATGTCAATGGGACGTCAGCGTGGAGCCTTCTTGTCAAAATTAGCCCGATTTTATTTTAGATCATAAGAACGAAAATGTTGCGATCTGGAAAACTATTTGATCCTCATAAAGATGATTTTTAAACCACAGGAACCAACCTAAAAAAATTAGCAGGCTTTAGAGCTTGTCCTTGTCTGGATAATTTCTATCGCTTGGATCGCTTTGGAAAATGTATTGAATGTCCACTTGGCTACCAATGTACGAATGAAACAGTGTGCTTGCTTCCTGGGTTTTACTGGATTTGGAAAAATGAGAGCAGCAAAGAAAAGTACCAAAACTTCACTGAACTGCTAAAAGAAGAAAACATGTATGATTATGATCCAAACTGGAGGAAATTTGATGAAAATCTTCCGATACCATACATGTGTCCTTTTATTGTCTCCTGCAAGGTAAGATAAAAACTTGAATGCTTGAAAATTCCTAACTCATTTTAATTTTTGTATAACCCTAGTAACTATAAAGAAAATCTCTAATCCTGTTGTTTTTTTACGTTTATTTCCAGGGAGGCGTTGACTCTATGTGTTCAGATGGTTATAAAGGTCCTTTATGTGCTATATGCTCTAAAGGCTATTACAGGATGTTCTCTGGATGCAACAAATGCCCAACTTTATATCTTTTGGTTGGCCAGTGCTGTGCTGTAGCAGTCGTGGCTGGTATACTTGTGTTTGCTATAATCAAAGACAAGAAGTCTAATCGTGCTAATAGACGTTCAGTAAGTGACACTGTATTCAGTAGTTTCAAGATTGTGATTGGATTCTACCAAGTGACAAGTGGTACTCTCAACGCCTATTCTTACATCAAGTGGCCTGCAGCACTCACCAAGTTGATGAAGTTTGCTGATTTGGTACAACTGAACATTTTCAAACTCGTTCCATTGGAATGCCTGAAACAGTCTATAAGGTTAACGCCATACGCTGGTCTTGTGGTTTATATCTCTTTAGATGCCATGGTCATTCTGATTGCAATTCTATATTTCTTCATCCAAAAGGCCTTTACAAACATCAATCGTGATAACAAGAGGCTTTCCAAATGTAAAGCAAACTGCTATCGAGCAGTTTTCTTGGTCATTTTCATCACTTATCCTGCGACTTGTGAGAAGGTTTTCCAGGTTCTGCCATCCAGTTGCCATAAAGTGTGTGACAATGAGCAAGGCTGTTCATGGTATCTACAGTCCGACTATTCCTCGAAATGCTTTACAAGTTTCTATAACAAATTTGTCATCTTAGCCTACTTTGCAATCTTGATTCCCATCGGATTTCCTGTTGCCACGACGTTCTTCTTGTGGAAGTACTGCAGAAACAATGGACCAGAAGAGAGCGACATTGAAGATGAAGGTAGTGACAAAGTACATCTTGCAGTAATGAAGAAGCGCTGCCAAGATGATGCTGCCGGCCATGAAATATCAGCTGGAATGAGGTTTCTTTACGAGAACTACAGTGAAGATTGTTGGTACTGGGAGGTAATCGAGCTTGTTCGTAAGGTTATCTTCACCTCAGTACTGGTTTATTCCGGTCAAGAGGGACGATTATTTCTTGGGGTCACCGCCATTTTGTCTGGTTTCTATGCAGTGTATTTTGCTCACACACAGCCTATTCCACATTTGTTTGACAAATGGCTTCATCTGGGTGCTCTGATGGCTACCATGGCCAACCAGTTCATGGCGATGCTGCTAAAGATYCCTGCAGAAACAGTTTCGACTTTGGTGGATGTGGAGAGTGACGCCATTGGTATTACCGTTATGCTGATGTTTGCCAATCTCTTCGTTGTTATTATTATTGTAGGTAAGTCTACATTTGACATATAAACCATAATAGGCATTGACGTAAGTAGTGTCTCTTAACTTTATAGCCACCTCTTGGTAGCTGGCTATTGAGGCTATGAGCTATTAATGGTATCTTATAGGGTATTGATAATGAAATCTATAAACTTGATATTACTTTGGTATCTTTAATGGTTGCCAAACAAGAAGATCGATGTATATTAACTACCCTACAAGATAATAGATAAGGAGACTTGCCGACCTAGTCGCTAGACAAGACACTATTTAATCGTCTATGTAGAGTATCTTTCATGGTTTAAAAATCTACAAAGCAACGCTCATTTAAAGAAAAAATTCCGTAGTATTTTTTAGGGGTATTTTGAAAATTCTCGACGAGCATCCCATACGTTCCTTTTCGTGGTTCAGGGACGTCTGGTAACGTTTTCATCATCTTTGTGTTCCAGTTCGCTATGTATACGGTGTTTACTTCACAATGCAAGCCATCAGAGAGAACCCACAATGCGATCTGTCATGTGTTCTCTCAGTGCTCCAGGTTGTAAACTTTGGTGAGGGTCATGATTTGTCCACAAAAAGAGGCAAAAAGACAGGACGGGAAGACAAGATTGAGCTCAGTAATATATAAAAAGAACTCGATAAAATGCACGTAAAAGCAAAAGCTTATCATTAGAAATATCCAAACCAAACATTTAATAAGTGCAAAGTAATGCCATGCGAAATCCTTAAACTCCTTGAAAACTCCTTAAATTTAATTCACGTTTTCAAGGGCACTTATGATTTTATCGAAACTCCTTGAAAACTCCTAGAATTTTTGCTTTGATCAATACTTGCATGGTTCTGAAATAGATCTAGTCAGAAAGATCAGAAAATCTGAAAGTCGGCCATGTGCAACCACCGTGTAAAACCTTGGCATATTTCGCTGAACATTCTCCTTGAAAATTAATTTTTGGGTCCTTGTATACTCCTTGCATAATCCTTGAATTCTAAGTGGTTACCTCGCAGCCGGACCCTGGAATCATTTCGAAACTGAAGTATTACTTACTGTTCAAAGCCATTCTTTTTCATCATTAGAAAACCATTAAATAAAAGAAATATAGATAGAATAGTTCGCATAACTGAATTATATAAAAGTCCAATAATCTAATTCTTGGGTATCACACGGGTTTCGGCGATCACACAGGTCTTCTCAAGGTCCTTATTTAGTTAGTTAATCTAAGCGTTTGGCTCATGTTGATAGAAGGAGACCTTTGAGATAATACAAGGGTTTGTTATTTCTACTTGGCTAACAAGGTACTACATCGACGCTAAAGGTACAAAGTACGTTACGTTGTATTGGTATGTTTTAGACTGTAGCTGTTGGCAATGTATTTAGCACTTGTGCTTAGTTTCGTTGGACATATTGTTGTTTTAAGTGTAATACTGAGAGAGGCCTTTTTTGCATTCCTGTGCATGCACACATGAACTAAAGCACAAGAAAGCGATGCTTTACTTATCTGTTTTGTTTTTCTTTTTTCTGTTTAAATATTAATAGTTCCTTCACAGATCCCTGCGCCTTCTCGAAAGGTAGCTGTCCCTTTGTATCGAAGCGAGACGAACGTTGAGTTCGCAATGATATATGTGAGTGATGGTTCAGGGTGTTAAAAAAGGTCTCTGGGACTGAAAGCTCAGGCATTGGCTATTTTTCTGATTAAGGATATGCGGAAAGCTTTGAGGAAAGTCATGACAGCTCCAATGAGAAGGCTTTCCATGAGAAAGGTTGGAATGACTAAAACAACTACGGTTAGTGTCATTCATTGATTGATAGATTCATTCATTCCATTTGTTTTATTCGTTTTTTCATTAATTCACTTTAATAGATTTTTTGTTTTGTTGATCATCCATTCACCATTCATCATTCAATCATCCACCAACCCTGGAGGGGGGNAGTTATACTTTCAAGCGGCTCGGATGAGCACATTTAATGGCGGTCCCGTCCGCCTCCACACTTTGTCATTTTTAACCAATATTCAAGAGACGTAAAAGAACCACTGAGGACGTAAAAAAACCCTGGCAGTGACCACCCTCAGTGCCTACACCGCATACTAACCACCCCTCATGATTGTAAGCGCCTTTGATTATATACATATTATTAAATTATTAATAAAAAACCTAATGACTCACGGGGGCGTAGCGAGGTCCCAGGAATTGGGAGAGGGGGAGGGGGGGGGTTGACAAATGTTACGTGAATGTCATTTTGCGCTTGTGTGACTGATTGTGTTTGTTTTCAAGTTCCAACCTGCCCAAGAGCGATTCTTACTTGGCCAGTGAAAGAAAGTTGGGTAAGTTTGTGACTAGCTAACCGTCAAAGTAAAACAAAAGAAAACAATGGAGTAAGTGTATGCTATGGATATTAACTATATCTATTAACACGGGCCAAGTAAAATCCCTCTATTATATTGAGTGATATCATTTACAGAAATTTTGAACAAAAGGATTTATTCAACACGAAATAACAATGCTCAAAAGGCATTCCTTTTATTTCAGGTTTTAAATTTCGGGAGCGCGCTTCCCAAGATACATTCCTCATTGTTGAATAGTCCAATGAGAAAAAAAGCTACTGGTAAGTAATATTTAAATTCGTTACATTCCTCAATTTACTCAACTGTATCTTGAGAATGATTTATTGTGTTGTCCTCTATGTTGATGATATGACTGAGCAAAGAAACGACGATGGAACACGGAATAAGCCAAGAATCTGGCTGGATTCAACTCCTAGATGCCTGGCACGTTATGTTTACAAAACATCTGCAGGTTTGTCACTTCAATCAAGTTTATTAGGTGTATTTCGGTATATGTTTTATATGCATAACATGAGTTCAAAGGATTTCTGTTGCCACATAAAAATTTAATCTCGAATATTGTCTAATTTCAAATTCAACGTTTTTCAAAGAAAATCAATTCCTATAAAGCACTGTAGATTTAGTTATCATTTTTGGGATTAAAACCGCAAGTTTAGCTTAAATTGTGTTAATTAAAACGCGCAACCTTACAGCGCTAGACAAACACATGCAACCCAGGCAGGATTTTGTCGCCCTTTCATTTTCAAACTTCTTTAATGTTTTCCAAATTTTTGTTAATGCAGTTATTTAGCGCATTTTGAGAGGTGTTATTCCTGTAATTCCCGTTAAGATAGTAAAGCAAAAACATACAAAAATATGGAAAAGTGAAAAAAACAAAACAAAAAAAACAACAACAAAAAACCAGTATACCGCTGACTAGGTGACTGCAGACCAGAAATTTACTTCACTCATTACACCATCGCAGCTGTTATATAATCGAAAAAAAGATAGTTTCAGAAACATAAAGCCCTCACCCGCAGCTTTCCATTAGGGTATTATTTGCTTAGAAAAAGAAATATTTTAATTTCACAAAACTTTTCACAAGTATCAGTTAGGTTTAAATCGTTGCGCGTGTCGTATGGCCCAGCACTATCCATCATGGTACAGTATGAATTCAAACGTGTTATAATGCTAGAAATCTTTGGCGAATAAAGATAGATTATCAGTAGGAATATAAATTTCTTACTGAAACTACGTGTTACAATGCTAGAAATCTTTGGCGAAAAAGTTATTTCCAATTTTATTTCTAAGGGTAATACCGCTGATCGCTCGTCCCAGTCTTCCATTTCCCATTCTCGGTCATTCCCCATTTCCCATTCCTGGTTTTAGTAACGTTACTTTTGGCGCAGCCATAGAGAAACATCCCTTCTCTTCTTCTCGTCTGCTAGACCACGACAATTAAATATTCCAACATTGAACGTTCATGAAAATAGTCATAGTTTTTTTTTCTCTCTCTTTGCCAGGCATGATGTTCACGTTAGTGCTAATTATTTGTCTCTCGTTCTTTAGTTGTGTTTTGTGTTGGGGGTATGAATTATCATATATAGTGTTTATTATTAAAGGTTTTCATTTGCGAACAACAAAACTAAAAGGGCAGATTTTTGTCATGCTGAAATTATGGCTTTAATTATTTTCTATCTGTAATTTCTGTAGACAATCAAAACAGACGTTTGCATACCAATTTTGCAAGAATCCTTCAAATATCAGCTGAGATAAGGTTATTTGAATATATACTAGTACCCCATACAAATCATTGTATTTTCGGCTTACTTTCAAAACGTTTTGAACTAAGCCGAAAATACAATGATTTGTATGAGGTAATTATATATTCAAATGGTCATATCCCAGCCTGATATTTCTCGTCAAAATTGGTGTGTAAACGTCTTTATTGACTGTCTATCGAAATTGTTAACCAAAAATATAATCAAGCGAAAATTAATTTTAGTGACGTCACCACTTGAGTACTGTATTTCGAGGAAATTAAACCTGCTGATCGCAGTCTGCAGTTCTGGCAGCGTAGTCTTGACTTATTGAATAAGTTTTGGCAATAACAATGTTCGAGATATACTCCAGCATCGTAAAGTTTTGCGTGCTCATATTTTACTTGAAGGAAGGTAAGATGTTAACTTGAATATGCTACTATATTGCAAATATAAAACACCAAGCGACTGGCTGCTGTGAAAAAAGGGCAAGAACTGAAAATCATTTTTCTTTTCTTTTTGATCGTTTGATTATGATTTGAACTAGGACTATTCTCTGCGCACGCTTTGCTAATTAAAACCAAAGTTTTCTTTTCTATTTTTGAAGATCGTCGAGTTTCTCGAACAAATGGCAATACTAGTACTCTCTCGATAAAAAAAAAGAGAAAAAAAGAAGAAAATGATGATTACTATAAACCGTGGTGTGACAGTTTTAAAAAAATCATTTGATCTTGAAAAGCGATATATTTTATTTCATTTTTACTTTCGAATTCGTTGAGAACAGAGTGAAATTGCTTAGAAAAAGGAAAGACTAGATTGACATTGACTGAACATCTAGGAATCATTTCTAAGATTCTCAATATTATTACCATTTTTGGAACAATGACGACATAACATTCCATATATAGATACCTCTTTTATAGTAATCAAGTGAGGATTTTAAATCTAGTAACTATCTGCCTACAGCAACTGAAAGACCACTTTAAGGGGACCAATAAATGTAGGAATGAAATTGGGAATACATATTAAAAGTCTTATAGCTCTTAAGGGATTTTTTATATCGTTTTCAAAAGTTTAAATCTTATTTCACCAAACATATTCTTCCATAGATTTTAAATCTTTATGCTGCAGTATATTTGCATATTACGTGAGAGTTCAAGTGACAGGTGTGGGGGAAAGAGACTGAGGACCGCAATGTTGTGAGCTCGAGTAATGTTTGTTTTGCAAAAAAAAAAAGAGAAAATAAAACAAGCGACGAGGGTTGACTAAACCCAGTACCAAATATTTTAAAATAACAGTCTATGGAATTAGTATTGGTTCTTTTGACGAAAAAGCCCCCTGATAGAACTGTCTTTTTAAAAAGGCATTGAATTTTGTTGTTTTGTTTTCCAATTTTATTTATTGTTCTCTATCTAGGAGGGAGGAGTGTAGTATATTAGCAATGACACCATGTGAGAGTAAGGGCGGATCCGGGGGGGGGGGGGGG